CGCGAACCATTCTCGTCTCTGTCTACACATCGTGTCTATCTTTTAATCATATTCAAAGAAGAATTTTAGGTGAGTGTATCAGCGTCACCGGAAGATGTGGCTGCTACTATTGTTCTCAAACACACCAATACTCATCATATACCTCTAATGCCTGTATGCTTGCAGTCTTATACGTGTATACCTCTAATACCTCGATGGCTATAATCTTACAGGTGCATACCTATAATACCTATATGGATATTGCCATATACCACTATAAGGCTATGAATATGTACGTGCTAAAGGTTGGTCGTATTTCGATTTTATCGCATATTTAAATTCCCCATCAAATCTAAAAGAACTGAACCTAGTACGAAATACTTGTTTAAATGTTGTTTTGAAAGGGCATACTTTTTCTTTTATTCAGATAAATATTACGACTTGTTTGAAGCTTAGCATTTCTTCCTTTTAACAACACAATGAAAGTTTCTCATTGATTCGATTAAATATTTGCAACACATGTCTGCGTGTTCTTTTGTTACAGATTCATTGTTTATAACTGGATTTTTTAATACTCTGTCTAGATTATCGATTGCTTATGGATAATGTTTTTGTCTTTTATCGAATAAATACTGTACTGAAATCTTTTCGAATTATCTGAACTCGAAATCTAGATAACTCTGAATATCTACTGTAAAATATAAAACTAGTCACAAAATTGTGTTCTGTAATATTGATAATGAGCAATGAAAAAAGATCTAAATCAGTATCTGAGCACCTAATATGAACTCAGTAGAGATCTGCGTGACCATTCCGTCGTGACCAAAAAAAAACAAAAATTATTCGATAATAGTTTCCACGGTGGATGTGAAAAAATAGTTCTGTTTGATGTTTTCTGCTCAGAATTTTAAGCTCTTCAAAATGACACAAAAAAGTCGAGGATATAATGATCTATGGTGGAGAAAACTGCGGTGCATTCGTCGTGACCAGTTTTGGTCATGACCGGTCACGACAAATGTGCAGCAGTTTTCTCCATCATAGATCATCATATCCTTCACTTTTTTATGTCATTTTGAAGAGCATAAAATTCTCAGTAGAAAACATCAAACAAAATTATTTTTTCACATCCACCGTGGAAACTATTATGGAAGAATTTTTTTTTTTTTTGGTCACGACGGAATGGTCACGCAGATCTCTAGAACTCAGCCATCAAAGTGTGGTTTCTTAAAACGAATAGATCAAATATCACTACTTCCTATCCATTTTTGCAAATGAAGATATAAAACCTTTAGATTAAATGAAGCAGTTCTTAGATTTACGCATTGGTAGAACTATTTCGCTCCCATTCAACAGGTATCATCTGGTCTTGATAAATTAAATCCATTCATAGAAAAATATGAATACAGCTAAGTAGGGTGTGTGGTGCGGATGTCGGTGAGGGTCTTTCCTGTACTTAGTCATAGCCATATCCATCCTGATCCCAGAAAATGTATAAAAATAGGATGGGGTATGGGTGTGTGTGTGTGGGTTTGGGTGTGGATATGTATGTGAGTATGGATGGAGTGTGGAGATCGATAAGCTCTCAAGCAATACCCACATCCACACCCACATCCTTTTTTGCTCATTTGACTGAAAACTACTGAAGAGTTGGATTGAAATCGCTTTTTTTACATGCTTTTGATTGAAAAAGTAAATTGGCATACGACTGCATGCATTTTAGACTTTGTAATGTCGTTGTTAGGTTCGATAAGACTGGCAACCGAGAACAGCCATGTATTAGCATCCTGCAGTAAAATACGTTTTTCTCGATGAAAACTTCATGCTTTTCGAATTTGACCCAAAACTCAGACTTAGCATCAAATTCCGCATCTAATGATGCATGAATCAAAAGATTTTCAGAAAAAGGAATTTTCGGTGCTCTTGGGATCTCCAACAGGTGCCAACAAACAGGTAAAAAATGAAAGTCATTTCTGCACGCAAAGAAACACATCATTTTACTCAGAACTCAATTCTGACTCTGAATATGTAATTGTTTTTGAAAAATATTTTGAGCAAAAAAATGACCTTACCGCCACTTCTGCTTTCAATGTTTACGTATTCGTTTTGTTTTAAATATTCATTCGACTGAGTCTCGGGTCCCTGAATTGCTACCGTGTCTTCCCATTTACGAACATAAAATCGAAATTCGAAAACTATTTAATTCAATTTAAAGTATTTTTTTCTTACTTTGAATCATTTTAATTAAAAATAACCGAATGATTCAAAATTTTCTTTATTAAAATTTTTGAAAATAGATTATATCGATTTTAACAAAACTTGTATTGACTGTAAATTTTACAAAATCACTAAACGAAAGTTTGATACTTTGATTTTTAATTTTTAAAAATTTACAGTATTAAATTTTACGTACATGTCTAAATTCATATTTATTTTTAAATCGATAGCTTTTCATAGAGTTCGTTATATATAGTTTCAGTATTTCTTTTCAATAATCTGCAATATTTTACAAAAAATATTATTAATAATTATTTCTTGAACTTGAACGCACTCTCTGGTAAGAAATCAAACAATGAATGAAAGGAAACTAATCGAGATACAAAATCATTTATTACAAAAAACGAAAATAATCGATATCTATATTGATTTCGATTAGGATATTTTCTCTTAATTATCCATTTCCCAAATCCTTGCTCGTGCATGTACAGTATTATTTTATCAATAAGGAAAAAGTAATATGCGGCTAATCGATATGTATTATCAATATCTATATTGATTCCGATTAAAATCGTTCTTGAGGGTGTGGGTGTATATGGGTCTGGATCTGGGTGTGAGTTTGAGTGTGGACTTCGGTTTTTTTCTCATGTACTCACACACCCGCACTCATACCCTTTCCTAATTCTTATTAAAAATTTTCCTGTCTATTTACCTGATTTTTGGGTATATGCTGCTGCGAATCCTGAATACGTTTGAATGATTAATCTCGAATGAGAAATCGTTCAAACCGCATTCTCTATTGAATAAAACGAGCCTGTTTTTTTTTCTTATTAGAATCCTGCAATAAGCATACACAATTAATCATGTGCTAAATAATGACAGATCCATGCTATGTATTTCCGCTAGTTAAACTAAAGGAAGTGAACATTTCTGCGAAAAATATTCATTATTTGACGAAGAATATAAATAAAAAGTCCTTATGTTGGACCATTAATTATATCAACAAACATTGTGAAACTTGATTGAAAGGATACTGAGCAATTGTTCACTTCTTCTCAATAGTCATCCTAAATAGGTATGGAATATTTTGATGTGTAGCGGATGTAGATCTCAATGTGGGCAACAATGTATTCAATGGTAGAGATTTTCTGTATGCTGTCGCGCCAACAATCACACTCAGGAAACAATATATTCATTGAAATCTGTATCAGATACAAAGTTTTCATAGTCACTTGTTCTCATGAGAGTGTGAACTCTGTTTTAAACAGAAAATAACTTTCGATCCATTTTATGTACTAATCATCAATTACAATGCGTCCAGTTAAACTTTTGAATATGTGATCATAATATTCTTTCAAAGAAAAAATGGGATAATCATTTAAGAAATCGCATGGTTCATTAGTCTGTATAATTATTATTTGATCCTCAAAGACAAATTTCAACACACTGTATAAATTCATGCAACTCATGTGAAGTATAGAATTCCTTTTTTTAGAAGACTTTTTGAGAAATTCTGTTTTGACCTGAGAAAGGTTCCATGTCAATAAAATAGTTTTCAAGTGGTATTATAATTAGCCTCTTTGTATAGCTTGTTTGTTCGAGAGAAATTTCTTCATTTTTTTATTTCTATCCAATAGTATACTTTTATATGATTCATCACATCGTCTTGACTTTTTTCGCATATCTCCAATTTATACACGAAGTACTTTTTCTTATCGTCATCGACGTAGAATGAGGGTTTATTATGCATCTACACTCATATATATTGAATTCAAGTTAGTAGTCTATAAGATAGCAACGTTCGAAAAAAAATTTCTTCATGTTTTTCTCTAACAACCTCTTAATGAATGGAGCCACTGTGGTTACACTTGCTGCATCCAATTGTGAGCATTGAATCAATATGAGTACAAGATAAATATTGATCCACAAAAAAGAAAAGCTTATAATCGTGAGTGGATGAAAAGTTCTTTGACTAACTCGTATATTCCTGATGCAACCATCATCTTCGTTAATGACACTAACACACTTTATGAGCCGGCTTTTGACTATCATTCTTTTTACTACCACAGTTTATAGATGAGCATAATCTAGTTTTACTGCTACCATCTCGAAAAAACCCATCGCATTTGCTGTTATTTATTATAATTATACATCCATTTCTTACGAAAAAATGTATTTTAATATGATAAATTGTTCTTAATGAATCTTCTAAATCATATTGAGAGATGTTCTATCTTTCAGTTTGCTTTTGAAAATTGATTACAACAAAACTTATCACGAAATACAAAAAAAGCAAATGAATCGTTCAACTTTTTATTTATGAGTTCACTGTGACATAAATATTCTTTATAACTATTCCCATTGACCACAGAAATCTAGCAGTTCTGTAACTCAAGAAATGACGACTTTTATGACTCGTTACATGAATCATTCACTTACGCATTGTTTTATCTGTAAACAATTTCTTAATATCTTGTGTTATCACTATAAACTCTGGTTGTATTTTAATAATAATTGAGTATAGGATTGTCTTTTTGTTTCTTTCATTTTTTTTTCTCCGTTCTTTTACATGTGTTTGTTAATGATGACTCATATTAATATGCAAAGAATAATGACGAGAAATGTTCTCTTTCAGATATACGTATCTATTTCATTTAGTATGATAATGGAACGTATGTATTATTTCTTCCAGAGTTTGTTACTAAAAGATGTCGTTCTGTAGACGTAAGGAAACATCATTGGTTGTTCCTACTTTGGGAATGTTGAAGTAAACAACTATCTTATTTCTGTAGCAATACATCCAAAAAATGGCAAACACAATTGAAGCACAGATGGATACATCATTAAATTTATCACCAAAGAAACTATCATTAACTCGAGAAATAGAAGTAACCAAAGATGAACAACACAAAGTTAATACTAACCTTGGTCAAGAAAATCAATCTTCTATCGTAATTGAAGCTACAGTATCGAATTCTGATGGACTAGTTCAATTAGTTGAAAGTAATTCTGATAATACAACAAATCAGGTTGATCAGTTAACAACACAATTGACAGAAACAATTAAAATACCAGAAGCAGTACAAAAGTACAGATAAATAGTTTTGAAAAACTGAAAATTCACTTTGTTTTGTTTTCGTATATTTTAGCAATTTGGAGGATCATCAAACAGCAGTAGATCAACTTTATCAGGAGGTAGTTTTCTTTTCTTGTTTAGTCGAAAGATTATGACAAAAAGTATGTCTTCTTTCTATAAGGTCTGATGCAAAAGTCTTGGTGCAAATTTCGAGGCCTGTAGTATTTCAACAGAAAGTCCTAGAGATCTAACTCTTTCATCATTAGATAGACCAACCGGTCTGCTTTCAAACACACTTTTTGAAAAAAGTTTTTATGAAGTTAAGGTTTTCAAATTTCAAATTTTCAAATACCACGGAAAACGCTTAGTAACTTTTGATCCTTTTTTCACGCTTTTTTAATTTAAAACAATAGTATTCGTGTCGAATTAATAGATAATGAGCTGAAACTTTCAGCGAATCAAGTCTGAAGTGTAAGCTTTCTGAAAATCTCACTCCGAAAAGTGTGCTTATCCATGGTAGCCCGTAATCAGGCTTTTAAGCGAAAGAACGACAGTTTTCGGTTTTTGGCGCGCAATTTAGGTGTTTTAAGGAAAACAAAAGTTTTGAATCAGTCCAAAAAATATTGTTTTTCAAGACCGTTCAGAATCCGTATGAAAAACTGGCAATGGGCCTTTTCATTTCCTAAAAACAGAAAAACACTCCTAATGAAAAAAATAGCGCTTTGACGTCAATTTCGTCATAATTAAATCCATTTATAACTTAGCCAGACTATTTTCGATCGAACTACGCTCTTTTTGAATCGTGGCTACGGAGCTAATAAATCTTTGTAGCACATCGGAAAACTGTGAAACTTACATAAAGGTGTGTTATCGTAACATTTCCTAATTTCGTATGGTTACAAGTCGTTTTTAGTCGTTTTTCAAAAATTAAAATTTGAAAACCTTAACTTCATCAAAAGTTTTTTTCAAAAACTTCGTTTGAAAGCAGACACTTTGGTCTCTCTAATGGTGAAAGAATTAGACCCCTAGCACTTTCTGTTGAAATACTATAGGCTTCGATATTTGTGTCAAGACTTTTGCATCAGTCATTATTGATAGAATTCAAATATATCGACTGAATTACAAGAACGTATTGAACGTGCTGAACTTCGAGCGACAACAGCTGAACCGTCAGTTCATTGGAAAGTAAATCATCGGTATTGAAATTTTGATTTCTATTTTAGACGCATTGTTTCTCTTGAACAAGATATTCGAAGTGCATATGTGCAAATGAAATCATTAATTCTATCTAAAGAAACAGTAAACATCATTGATTTTTTTTTTGTTTCATTTTTGAAGTTTTATTTTAGATACGGTCGAAAGAGGACAATTATCAGAAGAATATTGCAGAATTACAAGCTCGACTTACAGCAGTGAGACTTATTATAATTTGAATATAAGCTTATGTAATAATGTTTCTAATAAGGCAAAACAACGAAGTACTGAAGCGAAAATGGATGTTGGGAAAATGCAACTTAAAATTGGTCAACTTCAAGGTATCTTATATAATTTTTAATATGAAAATCAGCTTAGATTTTTTTTTCTTTAGAAAAATTAGTTATGGAACGAACTAAAAGTCCTCAAATGAAAAACTGATATTTGCTACATCTACACCAAACAAATAGCAAAGAAACAAACTTTCTATTGTTAAATTTTGTTTTGGAAAATCTTTTCTTTTTTTTGTGGCGTGTGCTGTGAACAACTCCTAGATAACCTTTTTTAATTATCATTATTATCCGTTTTGTTTTTGTGTCACATACAAGCAAAATTATCGATTACGACAAAGAATGAACCTTCATAACTATGAAGGTATACATAAAAGTTATTTTAGTTCCGGCATGACATGGTTTGTCCGTAAATTTCGACATGATAGTAGAGAACTGCAAAGTTCGCCTCAGAGTGTTAAATCGAACCGACGTTGGCTTGTTTCTTTCGAGTACGATCTATCTAGCTCTGGGTTTAGTAAGGATATTAGGGGAAAAGATTTCAGGGTAGTATGTGGGTATAATACGAGTATATATGTCGATCAACCACTGAGCTTTCGTCACACCCGCAGTCACTCTTCTATCGATACAAATATAAATGCGTTCATACGCACACCATGAGGTTGTTACAAAATCAAATTAAGTCTTCATCCAAATAAGTTCGGCTTCACACAGTCAAAAACTTGTCTGGATCTCCGAAAGTTCATTGTGATCACTCACTAAGAAAGATTCTGTCAATGTGTATTAAAAGATTGTGCATTCATATTATTTGAAACAGCATCTTATAGCGGCCCATGCTTTTCTTCCAAGAGATTAAATATCATCAGTCGTGTTCACTCTGCATGTATTATGATTCAAAAGATATGACAAAACTTTACGTAGGGTATGGAGTGTGGGTGTGGTGAAACCTATTCATTCCACCACCCATATCCATTCAATCTTCACAGACTTCATATTTTAGTAGAAAGTTATTCAGTTTTGAATAGAGATGATATTTAATCTTTCGTTGAGCAATTAAAGTGAAGTTAACTATATTGCATTCAGTCCAATTTAGTGCACCATTTTTTTCAGACCGTTTGAATTCCTAAAGTTTTATCAATGTGGGAGTGATCGTTGTTGTTTTAGATTCTCCAGGAAGAAACAACAGACTTGGTGCTTTTAAGATTCGCCATTATCTTACTGAGTACCCAAGAAATTTAGTGGGCGAAAATAGGAGTCTCATTATCTCGTTAATCAACACTCATAGTCTGTCTTCGTTTTTTCTCTTGTAATTAATTTGACAATCGCTCTATGAAACATCTGTAAAAATAAAAAATACAAATAAGACCATATTAAGATGAAAACATAAATTAAGATTTACGGAAGATGGTAGTAACAGCAACTATTACTTTTTTAAGCGTTAATCAGTCGTCAATGTTAGTCATGGCATTTTTTTTATGCAAGAGAAAGAAGAATACAGCATCTGTATTGCACAACTTGAATGTAAAATAAAATAAGAGAATATTGAATGAGAAGAGTAAGCGATCGATCCGCGTTCTCGGGTTTAACTAACTTAAAACTTACCAATTGAGCCTGAAGCATTTGGATGCGGAATTTCGGTTTCGCAAGCTCGGGAATAAATCGATACTCGATCATATTTTTTTCGTCTAATTGTATCGATTCATATCGAATCATGGAACTTGAGGATGTGGGCGGTACTTTGGATAAACGAAGGCCTCCACCCACATCCACACCTCAGTATTGGTTAAATCGTTCTGAAATGTGGAATATCGATAATCTCAAGTATCTAAGAACGCTCAATTGGACTGGATCAACCTATCACTAATACGGATTTCGTCTCTTGTTCGTAGTATCTTCTCAAAATACCTTGATTGATCATGTTAGTAAAATCAATGCCAATTATTGAAGATGCATTAAAATATTGGTCAAATGAAGTATAAAGATACTTTTAATAAATGTCTATAAAATCAATTTGTTATCTTAAAACAATACTACTTGAACAAGTTTTATTAATATATATATATATATTTTTGACAAAATGATACTCAAAAGAAAATGACAAAACGCCGAGATCGAATTTTAATAATCATCAATTAAACGTTGATTCAATATGGAATTTCTGTATTCTATGATTGAGATTATCAGCTATATAAATATGACCTTGTTGATCGAATGACAAACCGACAGGATCATTCAATTTGTTTGCTTCTGTTCCTTTTCCATTGCTACCCACGATGATATACCTTGTTTTGCTCCTTTCAACCAATGCATTACTCGATGTTCATGAAAATCTACAACATAAACAGTACCTAAATGATCGACAGCTATTCCACCAGAATATGATAGTTGTGTAAGATCTTGCCCTTCACTTTCAGCATCTGCAATAATGATGCCTTCTTTTGTACCTTGTAACTATTTCATCAGACGGTAAATGTATCCAATGTTATGCATGGTTAATCCCCAACAATCAACATTTGAAATGATCGTTTCTCCATTTTTACCATTACGTCGTGGCCATCGCACAACTCGCCGATTTTCTTGATCACAAATGATGATACTATCATTTTCTTTATTAATAATCACATTTGCTGGACTATTCAATTGATTACTTCGATCCCCTTGTTGATTTCCACCATCAACAACTTTACCATTCATCGTACTACATTTCCATTCCATAATACGCTGATTTGAATATTCAGCTACATAAATGGTTTGATTATCATCTACGTGCGTGTCCTATGGATAATGTAGTTGATTGATTGCGCTGTCAGAACCATTGCCGCCTGCCACGGTTGCACCATTTTGCGACCATATAGCGTTAAGAGGGTGTCGGTGTGGGTGTGAGTGTGGGTGTGTCGGTGTGGGTGTGAGTGTGGGCGTGGGTGTGTATGTGGCTGTGTGGGGGTGGGTGTGGGTGGGAGTGGGGGTGTGTCGGTGTGGGTGTG